CCCCACTGCAGCAGCTTCCTTCCCCCCCACCCCCCGATTCCAGCCTGACCCAGAAAGCACCACAGGGCTCCCGGCCACTGGGCTGTTCCAGCAATTCCCCCCGCCTCCCTCTGTTCAATCTTACCTTACTTTTCACTCAGATGGAGCGGGGAGGGAGCAGCTGCTCCAGGGAGGCGAGGCCAGAAGCCACAGAGGCTTCTGGTTTGGGGTTGAGGGTGGGAGGAGGATGGCAGCAGGGTGGAGCCAGGCTGGCCTTGCTGCTCAGCCACAGGCTTACGCTGGGTCCTGCTGCCACTGGCTGCTTGTCATCTTTGACAGGCACTAAGGGGCAGATAAAAAGTATTTTGCCCGCCACTGGTCTAGATAGCATACTTATTGGCTCAAATAGCTATATTTTCTTTTACTTGTTTCATTATTCTCTTTCTAAAATAAGAAGTTATTTGCCTAGTCTTTCACTATAGAAAGAATACTGTGTCTCATATATAATCTTTAAGAACATAAGTATAGTAAGTATTGCCCTCACTGCAGTATTTTCATATTTGTAGTGAAATCTGTAGAAAGTAGTCATCCTTTTCACAATAAAGATTTTCCTATTAACAATTTGTTTTCACCACATATGAAAAAGGTTTATTGTTCTGATTGAAGCACAGGAATGGGAACTGTGAGACTTGGATTCTAAAACCATCCCTTTTGTGAACTTTCCTTGCAACTTCAGGGTAATTATTTTCTGTGCCTCCCCTTTGTAAAGGGGAAAGAAAGGCATTGGAAGAGAGAGGTATTGGAAAGCTAATTATTAAAAATATTAGCAAACTATTGAAATCCTATAAATTAATCTGAAATTAGAAATGGAAAACTTGAATCAGTCTGTCCATTGCATCAATGTCACAAAGGAGAGTTGTTTCCTATAGTAAATTTTCTAGCATACTTCATTAGTAGAACTATGCAAAGGCCAAATTGAGATTGGTGCTCTGTTGTACTAAGTGACATAGAAAACACAATCCCTGTCCTAAGAAACTTACACTCTATCGTCAGTCTAGTTTTAATTTTCAAAAGTCCTGAGCAATATGGCCTCTGTCACATCTCTTTGCATATATTCCATAGCCTAACGCAGGGGCAAAATACGGCCCAGTGGCCAGATCCGGCCCGCCAGGCCATTCTATCCTGTCTGTGGGGCCCCTAGAAAATTTAGAAAAATAATATTTATCTGCTAGCTCCTGTCAAAGATGACAGGAGGCAGGGGTAGTAGGACCCAGGGGAAGCCACAGCAGGCTCCTGCAACAGCAGGGCCTGCCCAGCCCCACCCTGCTTAGCCCCTCCAGGACTGTCCTGCCTCTGCCGCGTCACTGCCACCCTGTGGGGTAGTGGTGGCTATGGAGAGCAGAAACAGGCAGCCCCACGTGGGTTCCAATCGGCTACATCACGGGGCGCTGGCCATGGGGTGCAGGCGCAGCCACTTCTCCCCAACACTGAGCACCAATTTGTTCCCCACCACCACTGCTAGCCCAGGCCCCGCGCCAGCTCCAGGCTCACCCTTTGGTGCTGAGTCGTGGCAACAGCAGCTGGGCACAAACTGCTGCTCAACAGGAAGGAAAGCAACTCTCCTGCTCACCGCTGCCAGGCAGTGTTTGCTGCAGCTGCCTGCCTGGAGCTTGCACCGTGGTAGGCTGCGACACAGCTGCTTCACCACCACCTCTGTGGTGCCCAGCGTGGCAGGAGTGGCCATGTGGAACAGTCACAGGGCAGCAGAGGCGGTGGTGAAGCAGCTGTGCTGCAGCCTAGCGAGGTGCAAGCTGAAGACTGGCAGCCACAGAAAGCACTGCCCAGCGACAGCAAGCAGAGGGGCCACTTTCCTCAGCACTGAGCAGCAGTTTCTGCCCAGCTGCTGCTGCTGCCGCTCAGCCCCAACGGGCAAACCCAGAGCTGAGACGGTGCCCAGGCTAGTGGCAGCCGTGGGGAATGGACTGGTGCTCAGCGCGGGGAAAAAATGGTTTCTCCCACTCCCCATGGCCGGCACCCCCTGCTGTGGCCACTTGGAGCCTGCATGGGGCTGCCTGTCCCTGCTTTTTGTTGCCACCACTGCGCCACGGGGCGGCGGTAATGTGGCAGAGAGACAGAACAGCCCCATGCGAGCTGTGAGTGGCTGCAGTGTGCAGCACCAGCCACATGGAGGAGGGGACCGCTTTTGCCCCCATGCTGAGCATCATCCCCACCACTGCTGCTCAGTCTAGACAGGCAGTGTGGGGTGTGCGGGGTCGGGGCTGTGCACCTGTCCCCATGTGTACCATGGGCCTGGGGCAGGGGCACTGGGAGTGAGCAGGCACATGGGAGCCAGCGGCAGCCAGGGGGGAGCGCAGGGTCTTCGCTGGTGTCCTGGGGCCAGTGCTGGTGGGGCCCAGAGCAGGCAACAGGAGCACGGGGTCCTGGCCAGCAGGGG